GTCAGTAATTTAAGTTCGATTTTATCGAATTAGTATATATGTATATACAGGGCGTCCCACGGCTACCTCACACGGAGGGAAAGTATATTAAATATTGAAGTTAGGATATTTTACTGAAAGAAGACATCATTTTATTTTTAATAACAACTAGAACTGCATTCACAGATTTTTTAAAAATCGCCTGCTACAACTGTGAATCAAACTCGTGAAATTTCAAAAAAGAAATACAACATAATTTATGCTAACCATCGCAAGGGTTAATCATAAAGATTAATTATTGCTCAATAAAATAGCATTTTAAGCGAAAGAAAAGTAATTTAATTTAACATTTTATTGAAAATTATTGAACACAAACTAATATTAAATCGAATACGCCTCAAAGTAAGTTGAAATGTTGAGTTCATCATCATTGACGTTTATCATCCGCTGCTGTGGTTCTGTGAGCGTATATCAAAACGTCATAAATTTCTTAAAGTATCCACTAACCTTTTAAACACATATCGAGATACCTCTATACATATAGACATACCTCTATCAGGGTATCATTTGCGGTACCACCGCAAAGCTAATATGTCATTGTAGTACATTAAGTAAGCTTCCATTAAATCCATTTTATTTTGATACCCCATGGTAAGTAAATTAACAAAAAATTGGAATAAAACGAAAATGAAACTTACAAACAACAAAAGAGCAGACGCTTGAAAATTTATGTGTTCTATTTTTAAATTATTATTTTTATAAAGGAGAATGCCCATATTTGGTACAGTTTTGTCTCATGCCTCAAGATAAAATTATTATGATAATTATTTTCTTTAATTTATACGTACGATGGTCTATCAGAATGGCTATTTTGAACAGGGAATAATTTTTAAAATAATATTAGTCATAGTACTGTTTATATTTTGATCCGGATATCTGACGTTTGTTTATTTATCGTAAAAATAGTGATGCCATAGTACCCTATTAGTTATACATTATAATCGATTGTTGTTTTTGTTACCGATGAGTGGGGCATCAAAAAGCAAATAAATCACGTGTTACTAATTATTGTTTAATAGTGATTTTACGTTTTTATTGTCTTAACTGTTGCGATGACAACTCGTTATTTATCTATTTCGTCTCTATGCTTAATACGTCATAGTCAGAAACCCGTCGCTTGGCTTAACTCGACACTTTCCTATCACGTCTCTTGCTGTATGTAGTGTCTACTTACTGGATGTAACGTGTTAAGCATAGAGATGAAAATGATAAAATGTCGAGCATGTAGGTAGTCGGACAAAAAGAGGCACGTGCTTACCCAGCGCTTTGTCTTGCCTACGTAGTCAAAAAGCCTTATTCTTGTACGCAAAATACAATGATTGTACATTAGCTTGTGCCGCGTCCTGTTCTACGTCCATAAAAGTATCTAAGTTAGAGAGGGACGGACGACAATGACGACAAAGAGAGGCTAGTTAATCTGTGCAGGCATGCTCTTAGGTAAGACGGAACGTGTAGCCGGGGTATTCGAATCTAAGTTTAAAAATTCGACACGTATTAATAATGTTAAAGAAGGTTAATTCCGCGAAAATCTTTAATCGTTTTTATAGAAGGCGCTCACCTAACTGTCGATTTCATCATTAACTAAGTAATAACTAGTAATTATATTTATTTCTATGCTGTTTATTAATTAATTGAATCTGGATTTATTTGTATCTGAAAAGATCTATTCATTGCGTAAAATCGTTTATATACAAAAACATTTTTCTTTAATTCCATCGATTATTCGTATATTCAATTTCAGATCATCACCACCCTACCCTATTGCAAATGATTGGAGAATTGTCAATTGTTGTTAGTACTCATATTTTTGTGTTGATTGAGTTTTTTACATAAATTGTGAAGTGATAATGATTGCGTGTGAACGTATGAAACGTTTTTTGTCTGAGTTGTTAAGACAGGCAAGACGTTTTCAGGAAAAATTGTGCATTCACGACAGGACGTTTATTTACCGTATGTGTGTTTGTAGTGTTCTCTACTCACGCATTCTACTACAAATGAGGAATCGATGACGATTAGACTATTTGACTGGCTAAACCAGTGTATTGTAAAACTGTATTTCCAGGGCCCAAGAGGTGATACTTAATTTTTTTTTGTAGAAGAACAGTTTAGCCCTCAACATATTACAGTCATGGATAAATCCTACTCAGGTGAGCTAATATTGTTTGTCTAATGTCATGTGCAACTAACTGTACGACATATATATTAACTGTTTTGTTTGACTTCTTAAAAAAGTAATAACAGTTCTAGATACTTAGGTTAGGAATCATTTACTATCACAATCTTATGAGAAAACTATTATTACTGTGTATTATTATTGCATATCATACTTAATTACAAATCCAGAACTAAGATGTTTGTAGTAGTCATGGTAACATTTAGATTTTATTTTATTTTATTTGTTTTGTTATGACTAGACAGGTAATAGATGATGAGAGAATACAGAAATTCCTTAAAATAAACAGAAAGGAATTTTCCATATTAATTATTTATTTTTTATTAATGTTATCTTTTTAGATCTCAAGAATGGAACATGTATGTGCTGCATGTTGGAGATTGAACAAGTACAAAGGCAACAACAACATGACTCAAGTCGCCTTACTCTTGTAGATACTACATTAAGTGGCAATCATTCTATACTTGTGCCACCTCCTCTGCCACAACCAAGACTAGAAGCAGTTCAATAAGTGACTCTAAAAATTGTATCATCATCATCATACATGTATCCTGTGTATTTGCAAATTGTTTAGAGCCTGAATGTCTACTTATTTCATCTACCATCAGGGATCTCTTATTGTATAATAATAAATTGTGCATACCAGCTGGTGCATGTGTTTGTCATCACTTTTTGAATTATGGTTCATGGAATGAATTTTTAAATGAATGAATTTGAATTAATTAAGAGATTTTACTGGCACACAGTTTGATAATATAATGATTATGATACAGCGATCAGCCAATTACTAATTAGGTTTTTCTAATGTTTCAATTATGTCTCCTCATTTATGTCATTATTGACTTGTTATGAACTCTGAACAGTTTTATAATTTGCTCAACTGTATACCAATCTAGCAGATCAAGTGCCAAACGCTTCTATAGCCTTTTGTATTTATTTAGTTAAATTAAGAACTGCTGATAACAACGAAAGATTGGCCACTCTTTTCAATAATCCAGGAGCTTCATAAGAACATTGTAAGACAAAAGCTACAAATTGTTTGAATTTGTTTGTTTGTAGATGATATTCCTCTTGTTTTAGGTCTAAATAATTATTTATTAAGAGGTAGGATTAAATCCTGACACTTAAGCAGCATACATATAACTCATATTTACTTATCAGTAGAGATGCTGCTTTGGCAGACATATTAGAGGCTATAAAAGGTTATTATTGCAGCTGTCTCCTTGGTGAACAACCTGTGGGCTGTTAGGACCACATAATGACTGTAGTTCAGTTTTTAAGTTGGGGTCGTTACAATGATGTTACTGCTCTGGCGCCTTATTTAGATTATTTTTTCTATGAAGATTATGTTGATTTGAAATGTACTGGTAATTCAAATATAATGTGTACAATTAATATATGTAATCTAATAAAAGTGTCCTATATTAATGTTTTTATTTACCTATACGTAAATCTGCCATCACTGAAATCTGTGTTGTCATGAAAATCTATGCAGTAGGTTGGAAAAACAGTGAAAGACTCAAGTTGATCAAAAATAACAGAATAAAAAAGTACCCAAAATAGCTGTAAACCAACTTTAAATAGGAGTTATTAAGGATTTGAGGTTATGTCACATTTTTTACAATAACATTAAAACCCCTGTTTTTATTTTCAAAATTCCAATTTGTCATACTAATTTGAATATTAAACGATCATTTAACATTTGTTTGGTATTGATGCAACCATTGTACGGCGGTCCATACATCCATGAGCATTCTCCTTTCAGCCAATCGCATTGTAACTGTGAGTTCAAAAAGAATGCATACGTACTACAGTTTGTGTATCACTTTATTATTTTTATCACATAATAAGACATTCCTTTCATTTAAAATGCTATGTTATTTAGCAAAAAATAATCCTTATGATTAACCCTTTTGATGGTTATCATAAAATATGTTGTGTTTATTTTTCGAAATTTCACGAATATGATGCCCCGTTGTAGCAGGCGATTTTTAAAAAATCTGTGAATGCAGTTATAGTTACTATTAAAAATAAAACGATGTCTCCTTTCAGTAAAATATCCTATCTTCAACATTTAATATACTTTCCCTTCGTGTGAGGTCGCCGTGGGACGCCCTGTATATGTGTATATAAGTTTTTTGGTAATAAATATTGGTTATCGTTTGGTTTGGTCTGTTAGGAACTAGGGACTTTGTATTTGATCTGAGGGGTCCCTATCGATCTCGGGGTCTGCGAACACAACTATTTTTGTCCAACATTGTAAGAATACAACGTAGTGTATAGTTTAATAATAATAACACTGGATTAAATACCAATTTTAGCTAATTTTAGTACCATAAGTAAGTTTTTTGTGGTCAATTAGGGAGTGTCTTTAATTATGTGACCACCACTGTATAACGTAAAAGTAAAGAGTTACTTTACAGATAACAGACTGAGATCTGTAACGGCTGAACAGATTTAAGTAAATATTAAAAAAGTGAACCTTATAGACGGGTGTAGGGTAAACTACCCGACGGGGTGAAGCTCAGCCTATCCATAATATAAGATTCTAGATCAGGCCAACTTTTTAATTATGATAATAGTATCAAGTTGATTAACTATAAATTGTGATTGTCGTGTATGCTTATAAGTTTGCATATTAGAAACCGAAACAGCATCCTATTTAATCATAAATGTACGAAAATAAAACCTTTTATTGCGCAGCCTTGTTTTGCCGCTTTGTTTCCGCTCCTAAGTTTATTATGTTGCGTAAATGCTGGTGTTAATAAAATATGTTTCGCCTGTCCAGGAGCCGTACTTGCTAAAGTTCCGCAAGCACGTGTACCTCAACGTGGGCGAGCCCATACAGCTGCAGCACCTCCTCGACAGGTCGGTACTGGCGCATTTACCCTTCGTAATCTATTTTTAAAGTTAACATGCAGGGGGTGTACGCGTGTGCTTCTAAACAAAATGATAATTATAATATGCATTTTTATATAAATATATTTATATATGTACAGTGTACGTATTCTATCCGTTACCCTACTCGTAGCATCCCATAACATAAGCCTTACAGTGCTTACTTTGGGGCTAGGCTAATTGGTGTGAGTGTTGGAAATTTTTATTATATTTATTTAAACACAATCAAAAATTTGTATTTTTTTAAAAATCGGCCCATTATATTTTCGTGAGCAAAATATATTGTATACCAATCTACTTTGCTAAAAAAACTGACATCAATTAATAAAACATACAGTTTCTGTAATGATGCGCGCTTTTTTGTTGTGTTTATTTTGTTACGAAAAATGCAATTACGAAGGTTGTATACATTGTTCGAAAATTCAAAATTTCGGATCATACAGCAGAGCGTGCGGTCAAATTCATTGAGCGTATGGTAAAATTAATTGAGCGTGCGGTGGAATTAATTGAGCGTGCGGTGGAATTAATTGAGCGTGCGGTAAAATTAATTGAGCGTGCGGTGAAATTCATTGAGCGTGCGGTAAAAGTAATTGAGCGTGCGGTGAAATTCATTGAGCGTGCGGTAAAATTCATCACGCAAACTCTCATACATGGCACCATGCGTATTCTTTACGGTTTTATTTTTAATTTCGATTCGAACCTCCTCGGAAGCGCTTTTAATCTTTACCTATGTCTCACTTTAATGCTGAAAAGAAAAAGAGACGAAGGATGTAGTTCTTATTTTCACGTGGCGCCATTTGGAAATGCGCCCCATTTTCTTATTAGAAAATATTACTCAAATCATGTATAATGTTTTCTCGAAAATGTGTTAATATAAACTTAATATACACTGGCGTATTCACACCACGATGCGTTGTACCGTACTGACGCCAGTTTTTGACTTTGTATTTGCTAACTGTGATCTAAGCTATAGGGAATCAACAGAAGTCTGCTGTCAAATTCACAAACAGCCATGAAAATGAAAATGAAAAGTCATTTATTCAGTCTAGGCTGTTACAAGCACTTGTGAAGGTCAAGAAGCTACGCCATCGGTTCGCAAAACTACGGCGGGAGACCTTGTACTGAGAAGAACCGGCAAGAAACTCAGCAAGGGCTGTTTTTTTCTCCCTGTATTGTTATATACAATGTCGTCAAGTAGAAAAATGACTTCAGAAATACGTCTGAAGTCACTTTCCATTACATCATTTAGAATATAAATATATAGTTACAATTAATTTTATAGTAAACATTGTATTTAGTATATAGGAAGCGGCATTAGATAGGTACAATATTAGTGTTGTGAAAAATGACTAATACCCATTTAATAACAAATTATAAGAAACACTATGTCCATGCATTACGATGTAAAGTGCCAGTATAGGAAATATACTTATATTTGTCCAGGTTGCGAAAGGACAACGCGTCTGAGGAGGAAACTCGTCGTGCGGTCACGTCGCGCATTCAGGACGAACTAATGCGGCTGCGGGACCGCACCCACGCGCTCATACGCGGCTCCAAGCACGAAGCCAACCACCAAGCGAAGCACGAAGCTAACCACCAAGCGAAGCACGAAGCTAACCACCAAGCGAAGCACGAAGCTAACCACCAAGCGAAGCATGAAGCGTACCACCAAGCGAAGCATGAAGCTAACCACCAAGCGAAGCATGAAGCTAACAACCAAGCGAAGCACCAAGCGAATAACCATGTGAGTACAGGACCAACTGATGCAGTTGTGTGACCGCACGCACGCGCTTATACGCGGCTCCAAGCACGAAGCGACTCATCAATGAAATTGAGTATTTGCAACTATAACGTTTGCACACTTTATTTTTGTCTATCGTCTAAATCTTAAAAAAAAGTTTAAAATCTAGCGTCTAAAACCGAACTGATTTGGAGAGAGGAGATTTTTATCTTCCAGATATTTGAGGAGTCTTTTGTTATGTCATGTAACTGCTTGATGTTTAAATCTAAAGAAAATATAACTAGAAAAAATTCCACGCGGACCAGGCAGCAGACGGGACTCGAAACCGCACCCTTCGCAATCCTGGCGAATGCACTGACAAAGACTGAGTCTTTTGTTGCTAAATAGATTTTTAGAAATGCAAGGCAACACAGCACCAGGACTATAAGTATTTAGTTCTTTTGTAATGGATACGTTGTCGTGTTTGCGCTTGGTTCTATCATTTGCAAAACATGCCGGTCGCGATAGTGTATGAACTTTAGATAAATCAGAATTAGAACCTGCTTTAGTTGGTGAACGCAACATGATAATACGCCTTTACCTCGTAGTAGCTATATCTGGGGCCGGTGATATTGCTATTATAGTTTGAACTAGCGGCCCGCCCTCGCTTCGCTTCGGTGTAGAGCTGAAGAGTAGACTACAGTTTTTGTTCTCAGGCTTGTATTATACACAATGACATTCATCTATGATTCTTCTTATACCTGTATGCAAAGTCTCAGCCCGATCGGTTTAAAATTGACAAAGTTTCATACTTTCATTCCCTATTTTATCCCCTTAGGGGTAGAATAGATCAAAATCCTTTCTTAGCGGATGCCTACGTCATAACATCTACCTGCATGCCAAATTTCAGCCTGATTCGTCCAGTGGTTTGGGCTGTGCGTTGATAGATCACTATGTCAGTCAGTCACCTTTGTGTTTTATATATACAGGGTGGTCAAAAAGTCGTGGATCAAACGAAACAGGGGGATAAAGAAGGTTATTTCCAACAAAAAATCTTTCTACAGCATGGCCATAACTTCATTGCACGAAAAGTTATGAATATTTTTGTTTTTTTTAATGAATCTACCGAGTTTTTTTACAATTTAATCAATAAAAAAATAAATTGATTAAACACAATAAAACAAAAGGTGTTGTATTATGACCGGATTATGTATCAATACTACAAAAATTGTATTGGAGCTCTCGGTACCAAATTTAACGAGCAATACATTTTTTTTCGTAAATTTTAAAGCGTTACAAAGAATTACTTCTCACTTTAGGAGCACCATGTGAAAAAAAATGTATTACAGAAAAGTGACCCTGTATTAAAAAAACTAGTTGATTTAATGCTGATTCAAATGAGGTACAACACTTTACTGTGTGACCTTTAGTTTTGGTTTTATGGTCGTTTTTTCATATCAAGGTGCAAATTTCATTAAATTAACCCTATTCAAATAATTTACTAGTTGAACATAAACGGCTAGTTTTTTGTACGTTGGAACGCTAGAAATGTTCTGTTCTTGTCACACTTAGGATTTATGAAATGTACAGACACGCTTTCACACTAACCATTTAATCCTTTGTCAAAAATTGAGAACAGGTAGACCAGTGGTACGATTTGACAATGAAGAGCAAATACTGAGACAGTTAAGAATGAACCCTGGTATTAGCCAACGCCAACGAAATCTCGGGATCCCATGTTCAACGGTGCAGCTTATTATTAAAAGAAAAAAATACCACGGTTACCACGTCCAAAGGGCTTTATAAGCTTTACAGCCCTCTGACTATGGACCTAGAATGGTATTTTGCAGAGATATTCTTAGACGACACAGAGAGGATCCGCAGTTCTACAACAAATTTTTATGGACTGATGAGTCAAATTTTAGAAGAATGGGAATTTTTAACATCCGCAATTTACAATTTTACTCAAGAGTGACCCACATATCATCAGAAATGATCGATTCAAGCATTTGTTTGGTATAAACATGTGGGCTGGAATAATTGACCAGAAGCCTATGCTACATGAAGTGCCACCAAGGCTGAATGGTGCTCTGTATTTGAATTTTTTGCAGAATAATTTGAACCAAATACTCAACGAAGCTGAGATTCCTGAAGATAGAGTGGCAGAAATGTGGCTGCAACAAGATGGCGCCCCGCCTCATTATGCTCGAGCAGTTCGAGGACATTTGAACGAGTGCTTCCCTAACCGGTGGATTGGTCGAGGCGGACCTATTGCATGACCACTCTGGTCGCCCGACCTTAACTCAATAGACTTTTTTTTTGGGGCTATTTCAAAGAAATAGTGTATCAAGGAGAGAATAACACAACAAGAACTACGACAAAAGCTCGAGTTCGCTAGGTTACAAATTGTTATAACAGAGGTGCATTGTAGAAAGATTTTTTGTTGGAAATAACCTTCTTTATCTCCCTGTTTCGTTTGATCCACGTCTTTTTGACCACCCTGTATAGATAGATGTTAAGCTGCAGTGATGGGTGGGGCCAGTAGTAACGAAGGCGGAGCTTACCTCGCGGTTGTTGATGTTAATCCTCTGCAATGGCTATGCGCTCCTAGTACTGCGTCAACTTTTTCTACTGAATTTAACTGGTTGTAAATTATTAATTTTAAAGTTTTGTAATTATTTGCCACGGAAGTTACGTCCACACGCTATCCTTGTCCAAGGGGAAGACGCACTACTGCTCAATGTCAAATAATAAACGAATACGGCGGCTGAGCTATCTGATATACTTTCATAATTAATTTACTTCAGTGCATCCGCCCGGATACCGGGGAGGATGCGGGTTCGAGTCCCGTCTGCTGAACTTTTTTGACATTTACACTGTGTACTTACCTAAAAAGAAAATTGCATACAGGGTGTTACAAAAATACAAATAAAGCTTGAAGGGCGTTAAAGTACATCATATAAGGAATCTTCTCTAATTTTCTTAAAATATGCATGAAGTTTTAACTTTTTATAAAAACAGTTATTTTTAATGATCCTCGAACTAGTGACGTGTCTTAAAATGATCGATATTTTTATTAATCATTAAAAATAACTGTTTTGTAATAACAATTGTAATAATAACTTCATGCAAACATTTTTTTCGATTGATCGATGCTTTTCAGAACAAGTATCTTGGTGGCGCTTTAATAATACAGTAGTGGATCACTAAATTGCTCGGTGATTATCACTTCCATCTGTCAAAGGCAGATAGCGAATAGGCCTACTGGTCCGCGTGGCTTATTTTCTTTCTAGAAAAAAATATGTAGATTTAAACATCTAGCAGTTAAATGCTTAAAAAAAATTTTTACCTTTTATTTAAATCATTATTCGTTTCAACAGTACGAGACAGACAAGCAGGCTTCGGGCGACGCGCCCTCCTTCGTGCCCAACGGGCGGAACAAGGACAAGGAGATATAGGCGGCACTGCTCGCGCACTCCCCCCCCGCCCCCCCCCCCCCCCCCGTGCCCCACGCGTGCTCCACGCGAGTCATCCGGCCACACTCACTGTCAATGTGGGAGACCACTAACTACGCGCCGGATGACGCCAACACGAGGGACCTTTGCACCGACCGAGTGAATTCTCTTTGAAGAACCCACAAGTTTCTACGGAGCCGCTGAGAGGGATCACTCGTCAGTTGAATGAACAAAAATCGTAGGAGCGTCCCGACAGTCGGTGCCGCTTCAATATAATAACAGAGCAGTATAAATATTTTCTAGAACGATATCATATTTTCACCGGATAAAGGAATAATTCACGAAATGGGAATCATATTTTGTATGGGTACTTTTGTGGTGTGTTCCCGCGTACATATCAGCCCGCGGCGAGTTTTATACGAGTGTTTACATTGTTGTCCTTTGTACTGACTTTAACGTAATGCGAGTGACTAACGCGCACAAAGCGGCCGACGCGATCGCCCCTTTTTTTTTTTTTTTTAATTGTTGGGAAAATGCGTGACGCATACCTCGCCCCTGGTTGAGAGACGGTGTTATGTGGGACTCCTCCTCCCCCCAAATCAGCGGCTGTTCGGGATGAAGGGGGGGCCCTACCCACTAAAAACCCAACAGTGCTCCCTCGCCTGCCGGAACGGGTTTCGTGGGATCCGGATGACTCACCACGTAACGCGATCGCCCCTCGATATGAACACCCTTTTCATAGTCTTATTATTATATTATTACTAGCTGTCCCAGCGAACTTCGTACCGCCATAAAAAAATAAGCGTTGATTGTAAAGGGTTGAAAATTCAGGGTTATATGTATTTACTAATGCTGTATCATAAAAAATAAAAAAAAAATTAGGGGTGGATTACCTTTAACATTTAGGGGGATGAAAAATAGATGTTGTCCGATTCTCAGACCTACCCAATATGCACACAAAATTTCATGAGAATCGGGAAAGCCGTTTCGGAGGAGTTTAACCACAAACACCGCGACACGAGAATTTTATATATTAGATATAAGTCAAATTACGGCATGCCAAAATTGGATTGTATATTTTGGTGTTATAATGCGACCGCGTCCGCCGCCCCGATGCAAGCATTCTGCATTCATTCCACGATCCTCTGGAAAGACATTCGTATAGGTGTTTCGTTTTAGTATTATTAATTAGGTAGGTAGCCAATCGCGGGAGGGCGGCCGCTGCCCGCTGGCGCCCAACGTGGGGCCGCCGACAAACTTTCAGATATATTCCAACCACAGAGCACCTCCACTAGAAATCGCATATAAGGGGCACATGCTTTTGGCAAGCTTATACGCCCCCCCCCCCCCCCGTCCCCTTCCCCTCGCACGCCAATAAAAGTAATGCGGATTCTTTTGAGGGTGTTCTGTGCTTCAAACGCATCATTTAAAATGTTTCAAGTCTTCAGTATCGTAGTGATAAATAAAGTTTTTGATAAGTTTTTTTTATGTTATATTTGTGATGTTTTTGTCGCGGCTGTATGTCGGAGGGTGTGATACGCGGTAAGGACGGCGCCCCCCCCCCCCCCCCCCCTAGTGTAAGGAGTACTGTGTGCGTGTCTCGTCAGTGTCGTGCAGCGACTGCCCCACACCCCTATTTATATATCCTACCCCTTCCCCGCTTTTCACGCTAGAGGTGGGACGTTTACTAATATAACTATCAAAAAGTATTAGGTATAAATATTCGATGTATTATTGCAAAATGTGTTTGTGTTTGAAAAACAAACAGTATTACTTAAATCTATAACCGAGTGACATTTTTTTATGAATTAAAATAATTACTATAATTTTTAATAGATAACAATAAAGATGCAGTTGAATTGCAAATTAAATTACGTTTCGATTCCAATGCTCGTGGCGTTTAAAAAACCAAAAGTTATGGGATCTATTGCGATATTTTGCCCGAGACGTTGGTCGCGCTTCGCTATAATATGATCGACTTGTTCGTTACTCAAACCCGCCCCCCTCTAGCCCCACAGCCGTCGCCGCCACTCGACACTCCCGGACCGACTCCCGTGCAGTATATAATATTCCAGGAGCTTCTATTCCGACTGCCCACTGATCATTTTTATAACGACTTTTGATCTATTTTTACAGTTTTATATGATTATAGTTTACACCGTGTAGGGTGACCGTTGTCGTCGGAGTCCACCTCTGTTCTGTGTGCGTGTGTGTTTGTACGTGTACGTATGGATGTTCGTGTGTGTGTGGGTGTGTGTGTGTGTGTGTGTGTGTGTGTGTGTGTAACGTTCCCGACGCTTGTGTGTGTCGTCGTGTATATTTTGTTACGTGGTGTAGATGTAATATATAGTTTACGGAGGCTGTATATTATGTGTTATGTTATGCTATACTTGCTCAGTCGTGGCTCGGTCAGCACTGCGCACGCGCAGGCTGCAGTCCAAGGTTCGCGATCATTGCGGTTGGTAATCGATAAATGAAATGAAAAATGAAATGAAATTTATTTGCATTAATTGTGGTTACAATGATGTTTTTAAATGCTTAGGTGAGATCGCTCAATTAGCCATTTCCAGCATGCAAAAATTAATTTAAATATAGATTTATAATTATGTTATGCCTTTGTTTACTTAGAGCATATCTCTTAGTCTATGAAAAATACTTATTTTCAAAATAAAAAATCTAATACATTGATAAATTAAATGTCAAAAGCAAATCACAACGGCACATCTCATCTTCAGTAGGTACAATATACGTTAATTTCATGTAAGTCAACAATTTCATTTTACGATTTGAATTGATTCACATAATTTTGGAGACTATAATACCAATTATTATTAAATAAACTAGCCGACCGTAATAAACGCGAACTTTGATCGTTTTATTTTTAATAAAACTATTGTGTTCTTATGCAATATATCTCGGTGACGTCTTCCAATATTTTACACTTCCGTACATAAGCCCTGCGTCTGTTTCTCTGTAGGTATTGTATGTAATAATGAAATTGTTTCTCAAAGCACAGTTAGTTTGTAAATTATCATCCGAGCCAATGAACTAGGCATGACTGTCCGATTTCTCAAATACTCTTTTAAGTTTGTAAACGTTTATTTAATCAACTGTATAAAGTTAACATAGTATCGAATGTAGAGTGAAACAGTCGCAGGGTTGCAGCCGTCTCTGTTATCAGTGCGTTGTTTGTTTAGAATTCTGAACGAGTGCCATCTGTATTCTCTATGGAATACGTGACCGTCAATCGAAATCAAATGTAACTTCATCGTTTCAGATAAACAGTGGGTCAATTATGCTTCAGTAATAAAATTCTAATGTGATGTCAATATGATGTTGATGCCAAGTTGACATTGTTTTTATATGGTATTATGAAACATTCCTATGTCACATCAAGATCATATCAATATCATATCCTGTATCACATTTTTGACGTTTATGCGATACTATTTTAAGTCAAAAAGTTGAACGTAATACGCATTTAAGTTGATATCATTTTATAGAGTTGATCATCATCATAGCATAAGTTGATGTCATTTTGATATCGCATTTTTCGGAGAGCATAATACGTAATGTGAAATAGACATCAAAACAATATCACAATTAGCGAGCATAATTGGCCTGCTGTTCACAAGAGCTGTGCTGTGTAAAGTAGTTGCAACCCAACAGAGCATTGTTTTTTATATGATCGAATCAGTGTATCTTAAGTCACTCTTTGAATAATTGATACTTTGTGAGGAAATGATTTTTATTTTCTGATACATATTAATATCTATCGAGAAAAAAATCTTTATTTGTGACACTCGTAACAAATAACGATATTCTCGTTTTAATTGCATTGAATTTAATTATAGTTGGTGGTTGATTTTTTTACACACTATAGGTAAAACTGCGATTATGTAATTTTATAGAAAAATATTTTATAGTGAAATGTACCAGTGTAAATATGTACCGCGGCTGTTCCTACATTCGTAGCGTCGCACGTAAGGCTTAGATTAAAACAAAAAGGGAAGATACGGTACGCTCATACTAGCATCAAAGAAAATATGATCCGACTCAACTACATAAGCAACTCTCACACACGCACACTTCTGTAAATAAACATTCTATCGAGCGAGCGAGACAGAACTGTACGCTTCAACGCAGCGCGAGCGAAACGGCGAGTCTGCGTCCGAGTCCGTGCGGCTGAGCTCTATCGATGTCCTGTTCTTGATAACAAAATGGCGATTACGTAAATAATATTCACGACAAACTTTGATTTGTGAGAAAAATATATATTTTACAGTTTTACGAATGAAAACTGTTGCTGAGGCATTTGTTATTTGATTTTGAACTATTTGGGTTCTTTATTGTTTTATAACACAGAATATACGCAATATTGTTATATTGAGTGCACATGCAGCGTGTTGGAATGTCCAATTGTGACTAAAGCGAATTGTGGTCTTGCACCACAATTTAAGCGGATCACTTTTGAGCCGCGAGTAACGTATTATCCCTTTTTGTTTTAATCAAAGATGTAAGGGTATGTAAGGTCACGCGCTTGTAAATATTGAGAGATGAATACAATCAAATGGATGCGCTTGGTGGTGATCTTAACATTGTATTATTTATTGTGGTTTTGTTGTCTGAACTAACTACGTGAGAGATGGTTTTTGAGTATTAAGTCTACTTCGTTTTTTATAAATAAATTGATGGACCTCGACTGTTGTAGTTTTATTTAAACTTACGCGTACAGGAACAGCTTATATATCTGCTGCGTGGAGTGATAATGCAATAATAAAAAAAACGATATGAAAAAAATAATGACATATAAGCCGCCCTGCTGGAAGCGAAAGAAAGCTATTACACAATGCGCGTATAAATAAACAATTTTCTCACACAGGTGTCGATTCTAGCATAATTCTCTAAACCTAAACTTAAATTTGACAGCAGTATATCCTTGTCATTCTCTATACAGAATGAAAAGGAGAGACTGATGTTAAATTTAGTGTTAAGTTTAGAGAATCACGCCAGAATTGGCACCACAGACTTTTAAAAAACACGTGGTGTTTAATTTTGGAAAATTGTTGCATGTTATGCATTAACGTATAAAAACAAGTAAACTCCCAATCGCTTAACAATAGTACATGAAATTGCGTCCGAGCGGCGCTGTGTAATACTTGCCTCCTCATAAATTTAAAATACACATTAAAAAAATGGATGCGTGTAACTTATGTACGCGCGTGAGAAGTTATACTTCTTTAGCATCATTAAAATTTTTTTTTTTAATTGAATGCAAATAATTAATAATTACAATAAAATAATAAAAAAACTGGGAAAGGAAAGTTAACGCAGTCAATTAAGTTCAGTTTTAATTTGAAAAATTAAATAAATATTCAATTAAAATCACTACTGAATTTAAGTTATTAGTCCATATGTAATTAGCACTTGTAAGTAACTAAAACACGTTGTGTCTATATAGAAACTAGAAACATGTGGATAAATATTATAAATATGAAAACAGTGATCAGAGGCGACGAGCGTGCCAACATTGTTTTTGACAACGCGATCATCTTATGGAGCTCCGTGGATCGTTCAAAGTACCTTTCGAACAGATGTCTAATAATGATGTCCACCATTATTAGACACTAACATTCATAACGCGCCCGCGGCCAATTTCATGCTGTTACAGTGATGCGCGCGCATCTCGAAATTTCACTCACATGATTTTTTCATAACGCGCCCGCGGCCAACTTCATGCTGTTACTTTTGTGTTACAGTGATGCGCGCACATCTAAAAATTTCACTCACATAATTTTTTCATAACGCGCCTAAAGAAGTATAACTTCAAAAATTGTTTACTTAAGAAAGGATATTATACTGTCAATCAATATTTGAATGATAAAACGGCTTGGTTGTAATTTTACCTGTAGATAATATTTCAAACGTTATATTAAAACTAAGGCTCCCAGCCTTAGAAAAAGTTTTGAGAACCTTGCACTTACTCCCTTTCATATACTTGTTCATTTTGTTTTGAAAATTGTTTCTTGCTATTTTGGGACATTTCTTTGCACTTATTGTTAGTAAATTCGTTGATTGTCTATTGTTACATATTTGACATTATGTGATGGAAGTTAACCTCAACACATGTTTGCAAGTTTGATGTCAACTTTCAATCGGACGACACTGTATGAAATAAAACAGGGAGAAAAAAGCAGCCCTTGCTGAGTTTCTTGCCGGTTCTTCTCAATACAAGGTCTCCCGCCGTAGATTTGCGAACCGATGGCGTAGCTTTTCGACATTCACAAGTGCTTGTAACAGCCTAGACTGAATAATCGATATTGAATTTTGAATTTGAATTTTTTTGAATAAACATCAACAGACGAATGAAATACAAACATTTGTTCAAATGAATTCGCTAAGTCGTGGCAGCAAGGTTCAATATCTATTGTATACGAGCAATAAAGATATCGAATTCGAATATTTTAATTCGATCTTGATACGCGTCTAATGTTAAGAAGTTTTGTATGGATATTTAAACAGCAATGGACGGAACGAGAGCTCCATACAAAAAAACGACGGGTTGCACTCCGGGAGTGCCGGCAGAAGTAATAACGTGAATATTAACGTTGTGCATTTTTGATATTTTGGAATGGTTAGGGTATAATTTTGCACGAATTGGTTTAATTATCAGTATAAAAATACTATCATCTATGTGGTTGAATACATTCTAAAAAAAATGCATTTTCTTAACAATAAAGCTGCCACATGGACGTCCTAGTTAAAGACTTATTATAAAACGATTAAATTAAATATTACTATGTTTCGTTCAATATATTAAAAGTCAACAACCTTTCCAATTTTATTGTTTTTGCCTTACGAATTTTCGATCAGGCCACGTGTCCTGACGCGAGTTTACATTTTTAAATCATTACAAAAAAAGTGTACAACGCCGCTAAAAAAATCTTCACTTCAAAATATTGACATTTGAAGCGTATCGAGATAGAATAAAACTATTAGAATTGTATATTGTTTTGTGTCAAGGGAACAGGTGACTTATGTGTTTTGTTGTACCTAATAAATATAATGAATAAGCAATACTATAGAAACGCTATGATAGTTTCGTTATTTTGTTACTTTAAGTAATGGGTCAAATACCTGAAATACGATTCTCATGTCTTTTAAATGTAGATCTAGTGTCGTTTGCACAGAATACTTTGTCATTGCGTGGCGTCGTAATAAAAACTCGGTCGAAAAATTGTTTGAAAATTACGCACAATCGACGCGTGTGCGTTATTCTGCTTCCGACAATTTTTGAAGGCGATTGTGAGTCTACTTGTTTTCATACGTTAATTATGTTATGTTTAAGGTGTTGTTTTGGAAGAAATATTATTTTTTATTCTTATTTATATTATTCATGGTGTAACTAAGCCTTCTTATGCTTTCGATTATAAAGCCTTCTGAAGCTATACCATTATGATGTCGTGAGGTCAACGCCAAATTGGCCTCTAAGAAGCTTGGTGTGCTCAATAGATCGAGAATGTACTTCACACCGGCCCACCGACTGCAGCTTTATAAGGCACAGGTTCGGCCTCACATGGAGTACTGCTCTCATCTTTGGGCGGGGGCACCCCAGTACCAGCTTCTCCCTTTGGATCGCATCCAGCGCCGAGCGGCTCGAATCGTCGACGACCAGGACCTTTCCGATCAGCTTGATCCTTTGGCTTTGCGTAGGGATGTAGCTTCGCTCTGCATCTTCTATCGCATTTATCACGGGGAGTGTTCTGAGGAATTGTTCGGATTAATTCCAGCTGCTGCATTTCGCCATCGTACATCGCGACAAAAATTTCATCCCCATCATCTTGATGCGTGGCTACCCACAACCGTGCGTTTTTGTCGAAATTTTTTACCACGTACGACAAAACTGTGGAATATGTTGTCGCCAACAGTGTTGCCGGACCGATACGACCCAAGAACCTTCAAAAAAAGAGCGTACTCCTTCCTGTAAGGCCGGCATCGCATTTGTGATACTCCTGGTGTTGCAAGTGTCCATGGGCGACGGTGATCACTTACCATCAGGTGAGCCGTCTGCTCGTATAAAAAAAACCAACCTTGAAAGGGATATGTTAGAAATTATGTTTGGATGCCAAATAAAAACCATCACTTCGATTGTAAACATTAAAGAGTTTATTACAAAATAATTATTCATATACAATAACGATTTCCAATGCAGCGTTCATTCTCGTTGTACAGTTCATTCAAAAATATACATTTATATCGCGGCGCGCGCGGGCGCCCTCGTCACACATCCTTAATTAAAATCTATAATAGTTTACCGAGTTCATTTTTCTAATAATTTTAACGATATGTATTTGTATGTATCTGAAAAATACTTCACTTTTTTTTTAAGTGTTTAGAATTCCAGTAATAATGATCAATTATCATGTAAAATATAAGTATATTGGTGTCGATTCTGGCATGATTCTCTAAACTTCAAGTATGGCATCGCAGATTATTTTAAATTTGCCAAAAATTTGTATGTTCGTATAAATATATTCTTTTAAATTATATTTGTACCTGAAATCTATCTTATGTAACCACGAATTTACACGGGCATATTGAAAATACTCTGCGCTGTTGATATTCTACTTGCTTTTTGCAGTTTCGTCCAATATTCTTCAAACTGTGAATGGAGCTTTGACAACCTTCATATATCTAAAGAAAATATAACTAGAAAAAATTCCACGCGGACCAGGCAGCAGACGGGACTCGAACCCGCACCCTTCGCAATCCGGGCAAATGCACTGACCAATTATGCTACCGCGGCCCTCACGGACGCGTCGAAATTCTACTAGCCATTCTTAAGCTGCAAGGCAGCGCCATCTCTTCGCATTATAGGTAACCCACAATGTCAAATGTATACGTTTACAAGTATTAAACATTTGAAAGAAGAAATAGCAATTATGGTCCGCGTGGATTTTTTTCTAGATATATTTTCTTTAGATTTAAACATCAAGCAGTTACATGCTTTAAAATAATAAAAATTCTAACCTTCATATATTCTAGCAGGCGTATGGGGAGTGAGTGTGCTCTAATTGGGATCTGTGGGCGGTGCGGGTGAAGCACGCGGTGCACAAACAAACAATATCTTGACCGTCCCTCAGTTATATATATTCAACAGTCCACTTCACGTGAAAAGTTTTCAATCGAGTAGAATTTCAAATATGAGTTGGGAAATTCTAACCCTAGTGGCGTCACTGACGTGCTAAGGAACTTTTAGCGTGAAGTTATGAATTAGATCAGATTTGAAAAAAAAAGTTACACAGTTCAAAATAATGTTGTTTGGTGGCGTATAAGTATAGGTATTTATTTTATTCAACTAAGATTCGATTATTAAAATTAATGATTTTTAAGTTTCACATTTTCAGTTCGAAGGCAAGCAAAACACAAGTTTTCACTTTTGTACTTTTTGTTTCATCGTAGTCTTAGTTCATTTTTCACTAAAGTATACACCCCGGTGGACTTTTCGAGCAACAACCATAGACAAGGAAGTTTGCGCAGTGGCAATTTTACATACAAAAACGTATACTGCGCAGGATTATGTATGATTTTGGCTCAAGAAATTTGCCTAAATTATTATATATTCATATCGCGGTGCATCCTGACTTAGACTAGCTTCGTATAGCTAAAAATCTTTAACGCAGCATCATTCGGGTGGCGTCGGACTGCGTCGATCTGTCTCAACGCGACTGAGCCACTCCTGGTTCGTCGCAGGATGGAGGGCCGGGAAAGAAGGCGGCACCGAACGATGGGTGGTATCGCAGCTTTAGATTTTTCAACAATTTCTTCGGCGGTGCTTCATCAGCTAAAAACCACTTTTTCATGGAACGGTCAGCAGGGGGAGATGTCGCGCCGTCCGGCGGCGTGGCCGCTTAAGGGTGTCCACCCCGAAGCTTCCGTTTAAGAAGATTCCGGAGACGCAGGTCAGGTGGCATGTTCTAGGCTGCGAGTCGTTCATCAGGAAAGGTATCGAAATCGGATCTCATAGCAGGTTTCCAATATCGTCAAGTTCGCTCGCGCTTCATCGGCGAGATGCAGCGCTAACGAAGAAAGCGAACGGTGATCTCGGAACAAGCCGCATACCTTCGAGCCGGGAGGACCGCGGTTTATCATTGCGATGGTGCGTTAATATGAGAGGGGCCATTCGAGTATTACGTAAGCAGATTTATTACAATCATATACCCCCTCTTCCCCCTCGTCAGCAAAAGTGAGCAAAGCTCTCACCCCTCCCCCCCATCCTTACGTAAACATTAGTACTCATATGCATTTTTTCTTTAATGTATTCTGTTTTTTTTATTGATTCATGAGCTTTCATGAGCTTCATGAGCGGCAGTACTTAAAAAGGCTTAATCGATGATGCCGACGTAATCACCGTCTCCACCCCCCACCCCCCATGTCATTAAAAATAAGCAAAGCGAAGACCCCTCCGCTCCCCTATAGTGCTCACGTAATACTCGAACAGCCCCAGAGCATCGAAGTGATGGATCTCACTCGAGGAGGCGGTCGCGTAGTTGTCTAATCAGCTTGCGGGTCGTCGGCGGGATGCAGCGCCAACAGCGAGGCGGCGCCGAAGGGCGAGCGGTACTGCAGCCTCAGGTCCCGCAGCAGCCTGGTGGGCGGGGCCACCGCGGCCAGGTACACGCGCCCCAGGGAGGGGTCGGCGGGGGGCGGGAGGGCGCCCCACACGGCGGCGCGGCACGACACGCCCCACGCGCCCCACCCACCGTCCGGCCCCTCCACGCCGATGCATGCCGCGCGCGCTGACCCCGCCCACTCTAGGGCGGCGCTGGAATATCAAACGATATATCTAAATAATAATTGACGACCTCCGGGGCCGAGTGGTCTGTACGCCGGGTTTCAAGGTGTCGCCGACTCGAGAGGTCCCGGATTAAATTCCCAGTGGGGGCGGATGTTTGTGTGGTGATGAATGAGAGCATTTGTACTCCAGTCGTGGAGTCCGTTTAATATATATTTCTATATAAATATACTTATATATGTGCAGTATATGTATTCTATCCGTTACCCTAGCATCCCATAACATAAGCCTTATAGTGCTTACTTTGGGACTAGGCTAATTGATGTGTGTTAAAAAAATAGGTGCGTGTACTTATTTAGGTGCGTGAGAAGTTATCCTTCTTTGGCATCGTTTAAAATTAGTTTTTAATTGCATGCAAATAATTAATTACAATAAATTAATAATAAATGACATTTCATTTCATTTCGTTTCGTTTCGTTTCATTTCATTTCATTTCAATGTCCCGTTCAAATCTGCCCTGTTTGCTTTGTTCAAATCTGCCCCACGGTCACTTGGAAAATAAAATATTACAAATAACGCGCCCGCGGCTAACTTCATTATGTTAAAATTTTGTGTTACAGTGATGAAAATTTCACTCTCATAATTTTTTCATAACGCGGCTAAAGAAGTATAACTTCAAAAAAATAAACAAATATATTTTTGTATATGATGGGCGACAATTTTCCTCACGCTTTCGGGCGATTTGGAGGAGTAATCGCATAAAGTGAGCCAGAAGCGTGTCCCGGAAAGTTTAGGAAGCACGCGCTGTTTTATTTGATTTTAAAACATAATGTTCGAATGGCTATTTCTTTTTGCAGTAGGTTTTATTTCTTTTTTTGCTAATACAAGGTGAGGTTTCAAATATTACGCATCACACGCACCTCCTGCGAGGCTCGCTCGTTTTTTTATTTAACATTCACCTACTAGATGTTTAAATCTAAATAAAAGTTTCCTAGAAAAAAAACCACGCGGGCCAGGCAGCAGACGGGCCTCGAACTCGCCCCCTTCGCTGTCCGGGCTAAAGCCCTGCCGTTATGCTCCCGCGGCCCTGCCGGCCGGGTCGAATTTTCTCTAGCCTTAGGCTGCAAGGCACCACTGTCTCTTCGCATTGTAGGTAAACCGCAATAAATATTTTCAACACTTCCCCCAAATTAGCCTGGCCCTTCTTCTTAACGATTCTTGAAGACTTTCGTATGTAGTTGATTGTAGTGAAAGAATTTTCGTTTGTAGTTGCTTCAAAAAAAAGTTATAGGACTTTGCAAAATCCGTACCATCCTGGGTAAAACTAAAAAACGGGATAATTAAACTACCAACCGAAAATTCTTTCACTACAATCAACTACAAACGATTCACGATGAGAATCAATAAGAAAATTTGGGTTCGGTTGAAACGGGATTATAAGGATTTTTCTAAGTCCCCTAAATTTTTTTTGAAGCAACTACAAACGAAAATTCTTTCACTACAATCAACTACAAACGATTCTCGATACGAATCAATCAAAAAATTTGAATTTGGTCGAATCGGGGTGCTAACGATTTTTCGAAGTCCCATAACTTTTTTTTGAAGCAACTACAAACGAAATAATTTTTACTACAATCAACTACATACGAAAGTCTTCAAGAATCGTTAAGAAAAAAATTGATTTTCCAATGTCGGATGCTAGGTTCACACAGCTTTATTTGGTAATCAATATTTTTAACAGCATCTTGTCAAAAAGACTCTCCCATCGACAGTTTAAAGAATTCTTAAACGAAATGGGGACTCGCTATTCCGACCTCCTTCTTCACAATAACGTGCGATGGCTTTACAAAGGAAAGGTGTTGAAACGTTTTACTTTGTGCTTGGAAGAAATAAATACTTTTCTCAATAAAAAAGGCATTAATAACCTTGAATTAGAGAACGACAAATGATTGCAAAAAATTTACTTTATGATGGATATAACGGCTAAATTAAATGAGCTGAATCTAAAATTGCATGGAAAGAGAAACCTAGCGTATGTTTTGGTAGAAGAACTGGTTTGTTTCGAAAAAACTTTGATTATCTTTGCAGAAGACATTCCTGGCGGTAAATTACTTCGTTTTTACAAGCTTTTAGTTAACTTGCTATGTATGTTTGTTACGGTCAAATCTTACAACTCAATTTTAAAGCACTTGCTCTCAACCGATTAAACTGAAATTTGATATGCTCGTTCAGTTCGGATGACAATGCATGATTAACAGTGTGACGTCATTCTAAATCCAATATGGCGGCATACCTAAAATGGCGGACCAATCATTTTTAATGCATTCCTACAATATGGGTATCAAATTAAAGGGCTTGCTGAGAGTAACTCGAAAAAAATGTGACGTCACTCTCAATCCAATATGGCGGACTTCTGAAATTTGAAAATCTATTTAGAAACAGATATCTTTAACTAATTTAGTTGAAATTTTCTTTTTAGCGCATTTGAATAAAAGCTTGTTTTTAAAAAGGTTTTTTTTACCTTAATTTTATTAAATTCTAAAGCAATATCGTGAATGTTAACAAGAATTATTTCAGCACAGATACAAAACAAATAAAGATGAATTTGCTGACAGATTTCAGCAATTCAAAACTAACAAAAGCATTCTAGCATTCATAGTAGATCCTCTCAACCCAAATAGTAAAGAAATCCACATTGAGCCATTTGGAGTTCATACTGTATATCTATAAATGCAATTGATCGATTTAAAACGTAAAGCTTTGTGGAGTAGAAAATTTACGTGAGTGGTTGATTAAATGAGTTCAAAAGCAAGTTGAAATAGTTGAGTTAGTTAGTTGAGTCCAAAAATGTATGTGCATAACGCAACAAAAGTGAACAGCTTTAAAAGAAATGCCGCGAGCTTATGCACTTATATTCGACGCATGGAATAGTCTTCTAGATTGCTACAGTGAGGTAAAGAAGTTGGTGTGCCGGATAGCGCACCTTTTATATCACTCCTTTGTATGTTTTGTCTATGAGTTTATGATACTTTTTTTTATCAATACTGTTATTTATTTATTTTATTTAATTAATTGCACATGTACATGTATATACAGGATCTTAAAATTATTTTGGCATGGTACATGACCCTGTCAGGGTGTTGCAAGTACATTATCTATATCACCACAACTACTAAACAGTTTCAATATCAAACAAGTTAGTGAGCTTTCCGTGACAGTTTCACTTATCATTCATAAATTCATTTACCGAATAGTATGCTTTCTGGATTAGATGTTGTTTGAGTTTCCTTTTAAATGTATTTATGTTGCTTTCTCTTTTAATTTCTATCAGAATTTTATTATATATTTGAATTGAACGGTATAGAGGACTTTTTGACGTGACAACGTCTTAAATTAGGTTGCGGCTGGGAGTCACTTATGAAAAAGTGTAACGCTCGGTAACGTTACGATGAGTCTCTCGTGTTAAGTTTAAGTTTACATGTACAATGTTTTAGTAAACAAAATATATTTCTATAGTTAAAATTTGTGCAATTCTTATTTTCATTCAATTCCTTGTTCCTATTGTGCAATTTAATTATATTCATATCAATAAATATTCTACCGAGAAAAAGACGTTGTCACGTAAAATCTTCGCCCGTAAAACCGACTTTACAGGCAACCATTTTTTTTTTTTGAACATTTCTAGTTTTGGCACTGGTAATACTAAATCAAATTTATATCGCGGATTTTTATTGAATGTAAAATATGTTGGATGTTATTCTTTGACATTAAACAGATTGTTTTACCTTGTCACTGCCACCACTGTTTTCTTTTCTCTAATAATAATTGAAAATACAGTCCTTATCCTCCACAGTTTGGCATTTGGAGTGCTAACTATATTCGGAGCAAGCGTTCTCTTGCATGAATATAATTAAAGTAAAGTAACAAGTCAACTAACAAATGAAAATGTAGAGTCGTGTTTGAAACTTAAAACAACAAGCTATGAGCCAAATTTATCCGAACTTTCTAAAACCATGCAAAGCCAATATTCCCATTAAATTCGTTTGCTCGATCGTATGGTATTGTATTTTTATTATTTTAAGTACAAATTACCCGGGACTTTTCGAGTCGGCGACACCATGAAACCCGACGGCGGACTAACCACTCGGCCACGGAGGTCGTCTATCTATATATCATCACCATCATCGCCATCATCAGCCTATAAATGTCCCCATCGCTGGGGTACAGACCTTCCCTATAGATAGAGGAATCTACCTAAGATTGGGCCATGACCCCCCACGCAGGCCCACTGCGGATTGGTGGGTGCTAATGTCTGCAGATGCAGCCGGAACTAACGGCTTACCATGCCTTCCGAAGCACGGAGGAGGGAGTGATAGTAAATTTTTAGTCACCCATCCAATGTTCGACCACTGCAAAAGTTGCTTAACTTCAACGTCGCAGCCCAACGCGCTAACCACTTGCGCCCTCAATCTCCTTAGTTGGAATATATCCCCGGCTGGAATATATCCCTCCCGTTAATATCTAACCGGTCCGATACTCAATAGGTTGGGGAAAAACTCTTTTCGCATTGTACTATGTGTGAATTTGTGATATAATCTCTTCGGCTATACCGTTTGTATCTGGCTGGTTTTAAAAAAGATAATTCCAATTTCAAATTAAAAATTGCAAAGGGCCAGACTCAACGGCTTTAATTTACTTTCAGAAAGAGTCTCAGACATTTATCTTAATAATATTTAGTAATTCATTACATGATTAGCAATGGTATAAATGATTTTCACAACCACAGAACTGAGGTGTTGTTAATTATAGCACCAATAGTCACGTGTCCGGCGTGGGCAAAATGTAGTTCATACTAATATTATAATATTCCGTCTGTTTGTCTGTTACCTCTTCACGCCTTAACCAAAGAATCGAAATGATTTTTTTTTTATTATTATAGTGAGGTCGGCAAACGACTACTCCACCTGATGTTAAGAAGTGATAAAGTCCAAACGCGAAGATAGCCAACCATCCTCACCTTGCTGGCCTGCAAAAATGCTTCTTCACGCCTCTATTAAAGGACCCCAGATTATATTCTGGAAGTCGCAGGCAACCACTAGAAATGTGTATACATTCATAGGTACTGATTTTACAGGACGTACAACGCCAGCAGTAGTATTTCGGGCGTGGGGAGGATATAGTGTAGATTGATAGATAAATCATTTATTCCCATCAGTACAGCACACAAATTCAAGTAAAAAACATAGAACAATTAATTATTAGGTATGTAACTGTGTGCCGCAACGACAGAAAAAGGCAAAAACTCAGCGATACCTTTGCTCTAAGAGCAAAGCACCGGTTTTCAGTTCTGCCTAGAAAGCGCGTAACGCGAAACGACATCGACGTGACGTGATTAATTTATTATTAAGAGAATTAAATTAGATTATATTTTTATTAAATTAAAAATATTATTATATTATTATTGATAAATTATTATAACATAACTATAGTGTCGCGTATCGTGTATGCGTAGTGCGCGGGTAGTGCATGACTCACAGGTAGTGGTGCTGCGGGTCGTCGAGCTGCAGGTCGTAGAGGGCCAGCAGCACTATGTCCGGCGAGGGCAGGCGGTCCAGCGCCACGGGCCTGACGTCGTCCAGCTCCAGCGCCGCCAGCTCTCGGCGCAGGGCCTCGGAGGCGGCGCCCGCGCCCGCGCCCGCCACGTGGAGGGCCCCGCGCGCCCCGTGCGCCACCAGCAGGCGGAGGCAGCGAGCCCCCACCGCGCCCCCGTCGTGGGGCCCTATGCGATACGAAATATCAAAATTCAATTTTACGTCAAAGTTGTGTTCACAAAAATAATTATTTTTAGGGGTCATCTTTAAAGTACGTCACGTGTTAAGGGAGGAGGTCCTAATTTTTGTAACATCACATTTCAAAATCTTATTAATCTATAATATTCAAAAGTGTTGTACTACACGTCCAATTAGAATAAAGATATATTGATTTCTGATTACTATAGCTTAGCGCTAATAACTGTAACAGTCTTAGTCATATTTGAAATAAAGATTATAATATTAAATTACCTAACAGTATTTAGAACTCTATCAATATGAGTTTTACTATATTCGGACCTGTTAATAATCCTGTTCGTAATTAAATAATTTACTCGAGCCCCCCCCCCCCCCCCCCCCCCCCCCCACATACCCAGTAAGGCCACGGCGGCGGGCGGCTGGTGCGCGTTCCTGGGCTCGAGCCTGCGGCCGCCCCCCACGAGCCGCAGCGCCACGTCGCACGCGGCCCGCGCTACCAGCGTGCGGGAACACTCCCACATTCCTAACCTGGACGATACCAAATACTTATGTTCAACACATTTGCTCAAAAAAGTGAATTTACGGAGGTTGTATACGGTATGGCCGAAAAGTCGTGGATCAAACGAAATAGGGAGATAAAGAAGGTCAATTCCAACAAAAATATTTTTCTAGCATGGCCATCCATAACTTTATTGCACGAAACGTTATAAATATTTTTTAAATATCTTTTATTTTTTCAATTAAACTACCTAGTTTTTTTTACAATTTAATCGATACAAAAATAAAATGATTAAAAACAAAATTATCTCCCTGTCTCGATTGATCCGCGACCTTTTGACCAACCTGTACATTATTAGAAAGTTCAAAATTACGGATACAACGAAGCATGCAGTAAATGTTTTATCGCACGCTCCTATACATGGCGCCCTGCACACCCTTTGCAGTTTTTTTTTCGGTCGAACTTCCTTGAAAGTGCTTTTAATCTATAACTTTGTTTCACTTTAATACAAACAAAAAAAAAGACGAAAGATATATGTTCTAATTTTTACCACACGCACGTGACGCCATTTGGAAATGCGCGCCATTTTCTTATTAGAAAAAGTTGGCTTCATTACTTAAATAATGTATAGTTTCTGTTTTCTCACAAATGTGTTAAAAAACGCACTAATAGTTTATTTGTTTCTTAGGTTTTCATGCACATCACTCATTAAATAAAAAAAATTGTGTGTGTCAGCTCCGACGCACGACTGGAGTTTACTCCTTAAGTTCGATAGTCTAACCAGACGCAAAAAGACTTTATTTAACTTAAAAAAAATTGATACTGTATGAAAGGGTAAATTAACAAATTAATGAAAATAATATACATATATAAATATATATTTATTCATTTCATATACATTTATTACAACTAATCGACGAAATATTTTACATTAAACTTTTTACAATAGTCAATTTCAGATGTGCATAAATATATCATTAGGAATGTTGATAAATTATGTAATGTTTATATTTGTTTTGTTACCTTAAGTCATGGTGGGCGATAACAGAGTCATGTTGTTAAGTTAAATATTTGTAAGGACAAATCTCAGTTTGTCCTTGGTGGGCGATTATGTATACGCCATTTGTGCATTTAAAATTTTAGTTCATATGTATCAAAATAGATGGCGCTGTAGTTCGTTGCATCACGCTTGTAAATATGTTTGGAGCTACATATAGGCAAAACATCACCTAACTAATAAAGAAATCTATGGTCTAACAAAATACACTGTAGTTTCAATTTAATTCTTTTGCACCTAAGCTCTCGGATTTAAGAGTCATTTTGGTTAGAACAGGATGCGCACCAAAAACGTAACGAGGTCCTTCATCGATAGATTTTACTCCTCACATTTTTCTCATACCGGGCCCCTTATATATGCAAATCGATTCTTAAGGAGTAAACTCCAACTAGTTTTTACGGGTTAATGCACGAAACTTTATTTATTTATTGACGTTTCGTAGCCTTTACAGGCTACGCCGTCAGAATCAAACTTTTATTTAATTTGTCGAGCTACCTTCGAAAGACTTTTATTGAGCGTTCGGTTATTTCATTGTTCGATTTTTAAAGTTTTATTGTCTATGTATGAATTTATTATTTAATTTACTTAATAAAGTATTGTATTTAAAATTCGTTTATGTAATTTTGAGTTTATTTATTTGACCTTAACTACCGTAAACTACCACCGGTTCCAAAATTGGGAGACCTTTCTGAGAAGACCCGGCGAAACAAGAGGCTTTCTCTCTCCTTCTTATGTTATGTTAATTATGCAAACAAAAAGAACTAATAGTATCTGTTGGTCTTGCAGTGTGTGCTCGGGGTTGGGATTTTATCTCCTGTATAATGGGTTCCCAAGCTGGTGGTATATACCAACCATCTTCCCTATTGAAATTTGGATATTTTTTAATCTCAATAGCCTCGCGCATCATTCGAGGAACGAATCGCTGCTCAGTTGCAAGGATCTGTGGTTTATCAAATCTAATGTAACGGTTTGGTCCCCCTGATGCATGTTCACACACTGCAGACTTTAAAATTAATTAATTGATTAATTAATATTTTAATTAATATTTCCAACACTCACACCAATTAGCCTAGCCCCAAAGTAAGCACTGTAAGGCTTGTGTTATGGGATGCTAGGGTAACGGATAGAATACATATACTGTACATATATAAGTATACTTATATAGAAAATACATATTAAACATCCACGACTGGAGTACAAATGCTCGTATTCATCACACAAACATCTGCCCCCACCGGGATTCGAACCCGGGACCTCTCGAGTCGGCGACACCATGAAACCCGGCGTACGAACCACTCGGCCACGGAGGTCGTTTAAAATAAAAGTATAAACAATAAAAGTCTTTCGAAGGTAGCTCGACAAATTAAATAAAAGTTTGATTCTGACGACGTAGCCTGTAAAGGCTACGAAACGTAAATAAATAAATAAAGTTTCGTGCATTAACCCGTAAAAACTAGTTTTATCATAATAGTTATTAATAATTAGTGCAGTAAGTTGGTTATCCTTATCACAAACGAGCAGAACATCTCAAGCTTATCAAAGTCATGAGTTCATCAGCATATAACAAGTTATCAACAAAGGATAGAGAGTCAGCGATGTCGGAGATGTACATATTATAGAAATGGGGCCCAAGATGAGAGCCTTGAGAAACCCCTGAAGGCACTATTATACAGTGTCCCATGGCTATGCGACACGGAGGGCAAGTATATTTTTAATATTTTATGATTTTTTCCTAAATAAATAATAATATATGGGTGATTCTCAGTTAAGAGGTAATCGGTTGTATGGAAGCAGTGGCACAGCAAAAAGTATCGATATTTATATAACTATATCACTACTTTTATCAAGACAGATGATTTTAATATGATTTTAAGATGATCAGTCATTTTTTTAATTTATTCTCGTTTTACGAGACACCAGGGGAGATACTGAGGACAGGGTAGAGACAAGATGAACTTTATTGCAATGCGCTTAGAGCGCATATTAGGATGCACTGTAAAGTACTTATCCGTGCAATCAGATTTTAGTGGAATAACTATATAAAGCGAAACAATTATCTAAAATATATGCAATTGTACATTCTCTAATAAATTATCATTACTGTTATTGAGCTATTGCATCATTTTTATAGTTTTGTTAGTAGCCTGGCACCATAACAGCCAGGGGAAATATGGCAGGGTAGGGACATTTTCGTTAAAAATCTAAAATTGCCGTAAAACCACTAATTTTACAAAGATTTCAAATAAATAAAAGGTTTGCAGCACTATTTAAAATAAATGTATATAGATATTGTAGTATTTAAACACATAAATACGAAAAAAAAAATGACCAGGGTAAATAATTCGATCACTCAACATGGCTGCACTTAGCGAGCACCGTTGCGCAAATGGCCAAAAAAATTGCCGCACGGATGGCTTGTGCAGCGCTTGTTGCTAGCTCATGTGACACTCGGTGTCTTCAACGTCAGAACTACCACAGACTACGGTAAACGATTTTCAAACTAAACCGAAACTCGGAGGACACAGTTTGCGATTTTTTTTTTATAAAAAGTGCAAATATAAATGAATTTAATGGTTACATACTGTAACTAAGTTATTAGGGTTCATGTTATTACCGATACAAAAGTAATAATTAAATTTCAATGGACTCAAAATTACTGATTTACAAAAAAAAACGGTTAAGGGACAACCCAGGGGAGAGATGTTTTTCCTCTTTGTGCTGTTGTTGTAAGTAAATTATGCACATTTAGAATATAATTTTAAGTGACAATTTAGAACACATTTAGTTAATTGAAGTTATTAAGATTTTAGACCATAATTTCCAAATATAATGCGCATCTGTCACTATATGGTCAGTATATCGTCAGTACATCACCTGTCGAGCCCCCTGTAGAGCTGGCTGCGTAGGGCGGGCCCGCAGGAGGGCAGCCCGTCGTCGTCACATAGTCGAGGGGCCCGCGCATCTGTCACTATATGGTCAGTATATCGTCAGTACATCACCTGTCGAGCCCCCTGTAGAGCTGGCTGCGTAGGGCGGGCCCGCAGGAGGGCACCACGACCCCGTCGTCGGTCACATAGTCGAGGGGCCCGCGCATCTGTCACTATATGGTCAGTATATCGTCAGTACATCACCTGTCGAGCCCCCTGTAGAGCTGGCTGCGTAGGGCGGGCCCGCAGGAGGGCACCACGACCCCGTCGTCGGTCACATAGTCGAGGGGCCCGCGCATCTGTCACTATATGGTCAGTATATCGTCAGTACATCACCTGTCGAGCCCCCTGTAGAGCTGGCTGCGTAGGGCGGGCCCGCAGGAGGGCACCACGACCCCGTCGTCGGTCACATAGTCGAGGGGCCCGCGCATCTCGTCAGGAACGCGGATGGCTCGCCGCACGTTACAGCCGCCCGTCAAACCGCCCAATACGTTCTCGTCGTGACGAAGTTTCGCGCCTGCCTCGTCAGCCTATGTGACGATATCATTCAATGAGTAAAAAACTTTTTGAACAAATATAAAGAGCGTGTGTTTTGTTCAAATTTTTAAAATATTCTTGACATTTTGTATGCCTGTTAGACTAGATATTACGACCACAGAGTCCGTTCAGTTAATGAAACGTCAAGAAAATGATTACTGTGTTTGAAAACACACAAAATAAATGTGTGACATAAGCCCCTACAATGCCTTATGTTGTTTGACTTCCATAGTTAATGTCTTTCAATATGTTCTGGCCTGATAGTCTAAGATCTTTGTAGGATTACTATGTCTGATCCATTTTCATTTTTGTCTGTATACTTTATATGGTGGCTAATGTGGCTATATGGTGGTGACTTTATATGGTAGCAAATGGCTTTGGTTTTTGCTTTTTTGTTTAATCTTTCGCCTATCAAGAACATATTTCTTACTATAAATATACCATACCAGTCTCTTTGACAAAAGGCCATATTTTTATATACTGTTGTGCTAATGGTTTAAGTACATTTAGTTCTTAGCCCGAATACGATTTCCAATGGAATTCGGGTAAACGACTAAGTGTCAATGTACGGAGTCGAGTATGCCCATATTCGGGTATTTTCGTTTTGGTTACCTGACACCGTCTTCCAGCTCGTATTGCAGTGTAAATATTGCTTCAGGTCTCCGAATTCGAGTAATGTCTTCTGTACATCCGATTACGGGCTACCGACCAAGTGTAATTGAGCCATAAGACTTATTAAAACTTATTAAACTGTATAGAACCTCCCGCATTGGATCCGGTTTGCTGTTGCTCGTCGAAGAGCGCGAGGTTGCGCTACAAGTCGATAGGAAACCCGTCGTAGGTACATTCTCTATTTTGAAGGTAGTCATAAATGGAAACACAAAAAAAACTGAACACATGCATCGGTGTAACATTGCCAAGTCTGACCTGCCGCACTAGATCCGGCTTGTGCGCGTGCCTCATGCGCTCCCACAGCGCCTGCTTGTCGAAGAGCGCGAGGTTGCCCTCGAAGTCGAAGTCGCGGTCGAGGGCGGGGTCGGCCGCGTCCCCGAAGCACGCCTCGTTGCGGCGCCGCGCCGCCGCCGTCTGCGGCCCGCGACCCTTCGTGCCGGGCGTCGAGCCTGGGTTGCCGTAGCTACCTACGCAAACCTTCCTACTTTCACTGTGAGGTGGCTGAATAGGCCAGTTTGACCAATTTTTTGATAAACCATCAAACGTTATTATAATTCTGATTTGTATATTCACAAAAAAAAAAACAAAATAATGCCATAAAACGTTTCTCTAGCATACGGCATATTTACAGGCAGGTAACGTCACACAGCTCTCATTAAAATGTCACTACAGCTCTGTCACGTCAGTCACCATGCAGCCAGCCGAAAATTTGTTTAGTAATTTGGTCACAACTTCGTATAGTAATATAGATTTGTTGTAGAACGAAAGTTTAACCACTGTATTTTATGGAATCCTTAGCTCTATAAATCTGCATTCTCAACTAAAATCATAACGGATCCTTATTTAGTTATTTTAATAATTTGGTTCTTTGCTTTTTTTCTCATGCGAGTTATTAGATTTTTAAACATATCATACATGATGATCAGCTTAAATTAAGGTGAGTATTTAGTTCCTTGGCTTTTTCTTGTGTTTCAATATATATTTTGAGGGAACTTTTTCTCTTTTGGTATACAAAAAAAACCTTAATAAACTGCAATATACAATTTTACTCTTTAACTTACTATAATACCTGTGTTAACATTACTCTTATTTGGCCGGTTCCCTTGGATATCAATAGGTTTACTGCGAGCTGGCCCTGCCCCCTGTGCTGGGCCACGGGAGTTTGAACTCTTACTGCTGCTGCTAGGGTTCACATTTGTCTGATTACCTGTTTGCAACATTACAACTTTAGTTGAAATTCTAATTTATGACTACTACCATATTACTATATTGCGATTACATTGCTATAGTTGTTGACACAATGAGGTGTAATATTGTTATGACATGGTTAGAACTACAGGTCCACTTAGGTGTGCGACACTCACACACACATGCCATTTCTCTTTTATTTTTGTCAGCTTCTTTTCTTTGTTTTTGAAGTTATACTTCTTTAGGCGCGTTATGAAAAAATGATGAGAGTGAAATTTTTAGATGCGAGCCCATCACTGTAACCCAAAAGTAACAGCATGAAGTTGTCCGCGGGCGCGTTATGAAAAAATCATGTGAGTGAAACTTCGAGATGCGCGTGCATCACTGTAACACAATAGTAACACCATGAAGTTGGCCGCGGGCGCGTTATGAATGTTAGTGTCTCATCTTAGACATCTGTTCGAAAGGTACTTTGAACGATCCACGGAGCTCCATAAGATGATCGCGTTGTCAAAAACAATGTTGGCACGCTCGTCGCCTCTGATCACTGTTTTCATATTTATAATATTTATCCACATGTTTCTAGTTTCTATATAGACACAACGTGTTTTAGTTACTTACAAGTGCTAATTACATATGGACTAATAACTTAAATTGAGTAGTGATTTTAATTGAATACATATTTTGAATATTTATTTAATTTTTCAAATTAAAACTGAACTTAATTGACTGTGTTAACTATCCTTTTCCAGTCCTTTTATTATTTTATTGTAATTATTAATTATTTGCATGCAATTAAAAAATATTTTTATCGATGCTAAAGAAGTATAACTTCTCACGCGCGTACATAAGTTACACGCATCCATTTTTTTTTTATCTTCTTTTTACTTCAATATTATTAATAAGCGCAAATCTCCTACTGTAGTCCCGGAGATATAGGATTACCTGGGTTTAATAATCTTTTGATAATAAAGAGTTTATTATTATTATTATAATCTAAAAACACCTCAGGAAAATTATGAATCTACAATATACTTCACTACAATATAAAGTAAACTATGTGTAATTCATTCATTTTTAAACTAACCTGAGCTAGTTGGATTTGCTTGCAAATTTTCACATACAGTGGCCCGTTGACATTTTTTGTTGTTCTTTGTAACAGCAACAGTACTATGAGTCTGTTCTGTGGGCTCTGGTTTGGCTTCAATTATTTTTAATTCTTTAATATCCGCAGCACTGAAATATTAAACACATAATAAGACATTTAAAAGAAGTTTTACTCATTTCTTTACCTTCTCTTTATAAGTTTCTTTTTTGTGTAACCTTTCATGTTAAAAGTCAACAGCTAATATTATCAACACAAATGTGTTGATTCAACAAACTTACTTCCGTTGATGTAGAAGAGCAAGGATCACTTACTTGAGCGTGACTTTAGATTTGGGATAGGGGAATCCATTTCTAAAGGCTTTAGTGAGAGTAATTGTACTTCCATCTGCTTCTAGTATAGTCCCTTGATAACAACCTAAAGGTTCACCACAATTTACAGAAACAGCATAACCAACCCACTTTGACATGTTTGCAAAAATACGAGCGTGCAATCTAACACAGATGTGCCGAAATTCGGCGGGTGCATGTATATTTCACTTAAATACAGTCTATCAATGGTGGCAATTAGTTAACACAATTAATAGCGTATTTTAGAATTAAATTCACTAACCACCATCAACAAAGATTGCAGATTTAAATCTTTATTTTTATTCCTCAATCGTCAAGTCAAATTCGAGTCAAACACATGTCATACGCAACAAATATATTTTTTTGTTGTTTACCTACTCAGGAAAGGCAAAAGGAACTAAGCCCATACAGCCATTGTCTTCAGAGGATATATTTCTCTATTACATTTTAATGACTTCTATCTTTTGGTTTCTTCTTAGACTATCTTCAACAAATTCAACTACATGATAAATTTATTTCTTAAATTCTGTATTTTTTTTCCTTATTTTAATATATGATTTGGGGAGCTAAAGGTGCAATTCAAATACCACCAATCCAATGGATGAAACAATAAAATTGAAAATAGGTTTAAGCATCCTGGATTACTTAATAAAGTTTGTATGGAGCGCGGGATTGCATCAGGGTTTTTATAGATTTTTAATAGGGAATTTATAAATGTTAATCGGATTATGGATTCGGATGGTTATTGGATATGAAGCGACAGTAACCGAATCTCAAACGACATATGACAGTGGTGTCGATTTTGGAAGGATTCTCTAAACTTACTCAGTACCAAGAAAGTTCCTTGCCCAGTACCCAAAGACCGAACGGAATATATTAAAAAAAAAAGATCAAGTTGAAGTTGTCATCAGTTGTCATTCTGTCGGGGCCAAAGAAAAGTGTGGTCGATTTTTATCGCGGGGAAAGAGAAATACAAAATTGTATCGGAAATAATTAAATGATTACATAACTAAGATGGTAAGGAGCAAATACAGCTGTTCATTATGCAAAAAAAATATTTTTTCTTTGATGAATTAAAAAAAAGCGGCAATTCAAATTCGAAGGGTTATCGGTTATTTAAAAGAAAGAAATTCAATTAAACCAGTTTTTGAATTGTTGGTTTGTAACTTTACATAGTTACTCGTACTAACATTAGAGAATATTATATTGCAAACCGGTGTAGTCATACATAATCATCTCGCTCCTTAAAATCAACATAAAAGATGGGAAATCATTTCTAATATTCATTCACCTAACATTGTTTACTTACTGTTCCTAACTTTGTTGATGATTAATATTTTTAATGTATGAGAGACAGAAGACCATTATTCTCTGTTTGAATCAGAGTAGGTACAGCTGCCTGGAAATATTTCTTGAAAACCAAATTATGATACTTATACACTTTTTTATGCTGGAGTTATGTACCTAAAATACTACTACAGAAATGTACAACACATTTCTGTAGCTACTTAATAAAGTGTAAGTAAAGTATACTAGAAAAAAATCCACGCGGACCAGGCAGCAGACGAGACTCGGACGGCCCTGGGCAGTAGTAGCATAATGGTCAGTGCATTCGCCCGGATAGCGAAGGATGCGGGTTCGAGTCCCGTCCGCTGCCTGGTCAGCGTGGATTTTTTTTTTTTTTAGTAAACTTTTCTTTAGATTTAAACATCTAGCAGTTAAATGCTTAAAAATAAATAAAATCATAAAGTGTAAGTAAATTCGAAAATAATTTACTATTTTTGATGAATCTTTAAACATGAGTCGAATAAAATATACAATCAGTTTTCATGCATACTACTCATTAAATGAAATATTTTTTCCAATCGGTTTAATGTGATCATGGGCAAATGTGTTTTTTTTTTACTTAACTCAATGTGCGTTCTCTACACCTTTCGATGAATGAAATGAATTGATGAAAAAACATGGAGTTATGTAAAAACTTATTAAAAACACATTTAAACCTATTAGAAAAACTTTAACTCTGAGCAAAATTCACTTTGAATGCAGTATTATTTCATTTTATACATATATTAGTAACTAGTGGAGGCTTGTGCATTTCATCCCTTTTTAGTTTTTATTTTCATGACAAATGTCATTTAAGTATCTCCAGGGTCCCATCTGTCTTTATACAAACGTTCAGCATAATCGCTTCAATTGTTTAGGTGTGAAAGCGTAGCAAAGAAACTCACTCTCACATTATTTTATAATATTATGAGTAGAGTATATTTATCATCCAAGCCATTAATTAGAGCTTCACTCGTAGGTAGTGGAGTACGTGAAGGAGAACATTCAGTCCCGCCCCCCAGTACCAGCATGGGTGATAGTATTGTGCGTGGGGGCGGCGGCGTCGGCGCTGTACGTGGCCACGCTGGTGGACCGCGCGCTGCCGGCGCCCCTCATGAGGAAGGACGCGCCGGCAGACCGGTTCATTGCCGAGAATGCATACGACCACCTTGTCAACCTCACCAATATCGGTCCTAGGGTAAGCTTATACAAAGTAATTTTTCGTAAATTGACTGTACTTTACACCTTTTTTCTTGGATCCTACGTGTGTGGGACTCACCCGGCGCGGGATACAGCGTCGGTCCTACCAACTAAAACTCACCTGTACCCTCCAATGCCCATGTTGGAGCGTCTCAGGATCGGTGCGCCACTTCACTGGGAAGCCCCCGGGCCAGCTCGGCCCAAAGAGTGAACCGGGCGACACGTCTCTGAGGGATTACGCCAGGGTACTAGGCAATCCTCAGACGGGGTGGCCTATGCCGAATGACACCTAGGGCACGCGCGGCGCCCAGACCATCTCAGGGCCGACGAAGACCGACAGTCACGGCTGCCTGCCTTCTTTGGCCCACCCGTCTACGTCGGAGGGGAGTGGCTAGAGACTGTACATTATACCTACTGTTATACCTTCCTGTAACAATAGGTATTGCAATTTGTTACTGAAGATATTATTATGATGCAGCCCGTGATTCCCTGCTTCAGCGGAACCTTAACATTTGCCAATAAAAAAACTTAGGTCTTAAGGTCATACATATACACTACACTTAGAAAGTTGGCATACTCAGTTTACATATACAATAGTATATCTCATTTATTTATTAATTATTTTTTTCATTGAATTATGTACTAAATATTTAGTTTTCTAATTGGAATTTTATATATAAATTCAAATAACACTTATAACAATACATAATAAATAATTAACATTAATCATATTACAAGTTGTCTTTACCTATTGTCAAGAAAATTTTACTAGAAAACAATCCATGCGACCCAGGCAGCAAACTGTAGTATAGGCACAAACCCGCATATGCTAGCCCTGCTAGAAGAATTTGGTCAGTGCACCCACCCACCTGAATAGGTGCAAGTTTGAGCTCTTTCTTTTTAGATTTTATGATGGTTTATGAATGTATGAATTTTGATGATTTAGGTGGCCGGTACATATGAGAACGAGGTGGCGGCAGTGGCAGTACTGGTGGCCGCCGCGAAGCAGATCGCGCGCGAGGCCTCCCCACACAACGTCGTCGACATCGATGTCCAGCGCGCCAGTGGAGCCTTCAGCCTTAGTTTCTTTGATGGTATACCCTGCTTACTCTGCCAAGTTTGTACAAATAACGTGTACCATACTACAATAAAATATTTACTTTATAATGATCAGGTATGAACAACATCTACAGCGACGTGCAGAATGTGGTGGTGCGTGCGAGAAGCGTAGGAGGACTTCCAGGAAGGAGGACTGCGCTGCTACTCAACTGCCACTACGACACTGTTCCCGACAGCCCCGGTCAGTACCATCCACACACTACACTACATCACACACACACGCACGCTGCTACTCACCTGCTACTACGACACTGTTCCCGACAGCCCCGGTCAGTACCATCCACACACTACACTACATCACACACACTCACGCTGCTACTCACCTGCTACTACGACACTGTTCCCGACAGCCCCGGTCAGTACCATCCACACACTACACTACATCACACACACACGCACGCTGCTACTCACCTGCTACTACGACACTGTTCCCGACAGCCCCGGTCAGTACCATCCACACACTACACTACATCACACACACTCACGCTGCTACTCACCTGCTACTACGACACTGTTCCCGACAGCCCCGGTCAGTACCATCCACACACTACACTACATCACACACACTCACGCTGCTACTCACCTGCTACTACGACACTGTTCCCGACAGCCCCGGTCAGTACCATCCACACACTACACTACATCACACACATACGCACGCTGCTACTCACCTGCTACTACGACACTGTTCCCGACAGCCCCGGTCAGTACCATCCACACACTACACTACATCACACACACACACACGCTGCTTCTCACCTGCCACTACGACACTGTTCCCGAAAGCCCCGGTCAGTACCGCCCACACACTACACTACATAACACACACGCACGCTGCTACTCAACTGCCACTACGACACTGTTCCCGACAGCCCCGGTCAGTACTATCCACACACTACACTACATCACACACACACGCACGCTGCTACTCACCTGCTACTACGACACTGTTCCCGACAGCCCCGGTCAGTACCATCCACACACTACACTACATGACACACACACGCACGCTGCTACTCACCTGCTACTACGACACTGTACCCGACAGCCCCGGTCAGTACCGCCCACACACTACACTACGTGACACACACACGCACGCTACTACTCACCTGCTACAACGACACTGTACCCGACGGCCCCGGTCAGTACCATCCACACACTACACTACATGACACACACACGCACGCTGCTACTCACCTGCTACTACGACACTGTACCCGACAGCCCCGGTCAGTACCGCCCACACACTACACTACGTGACACACACACGCACGCTGCTACTCACCTGCTACAACGACACTGTACCCGACGGCCCCGGTCAGTACCATCCACACACTACACTACATGACACACACACGCACGCTGCTACTCACCTGCTACTACGACACTGTACCCGACAGCCCCGGTCAGTACCGCCCACACACTACACTACGTGACACACACACGCACGCTGCTACTCACCTGCTACAACGACACTGTACCCGACGGCCCCGGTCAGTACCATCCACACACTACACTACATGACACACACACGCACGCTGCTACTCACCTGCTACTACGACACTGTACCCGACAGTCCCGGTCAGTACCGCCCACACACTACACTACGTGACACACACACGCACGCTACTACTCACCTGCTACAACGACACTGTACCCGACGGCCCCGGTCAGTACCATCCACACACTACACTACATGACACACACACGCACGCTGCTACTCACCTGCTACTACGACACTGTACCCGACGGCCCCGGTCAGTACCATCCACACACTACACTACATGACACACACACGCACGCTGCTACTCACCTGCTACTACGACACTGTACCCGACAGCCCCGGTCAGTACCGCCCACACACTACACTACGTGACACACACACGCACGCTGCTTCTCACCTGCCACTACGACACTGTTACCGACGGCCCCGGTCAGTACCATCCACACACTCAGAAATCACATCCCATCACACGATAGAAATCAGTGAGGAATGGTCCGTTTTAATAGTTACTTTTCTACCAAATATAAAACTTTCACTAGCATATAGGATAGCGAGAAGCTCTTTCTCAATTTGAGCATACCTCTTTTGACAGTCATTTAAAGCTTTAGAAGCATATGAAACAGGAAGGTTATTTTGAAGTACAACTGCTTCAATGCCATCTTTTAAAGCATCAACGGACAGTATAATAGGAAGATCTTCATTAAAAAACTGAACAACTGGCTCTGAGGCTAGCTTTTTCTTCAAAGCTTGGAAAATCTTTTCGTGGTTTTCCAACCAATTAAATTCACTATGCTTTTTTAAAAGATTTCTTAGAGGAGCACTCAAATCAGCAAAATTAGGACTAAATTTAGAAACGTAATTGATGACATCTAAAAATCGTTCTAGTTCTTTCCTGTCTCGAGGGCTTTTCATTGCGACGATTGACCTAATCTTTCCTTCATCAAGTTTTAATCCTTCTTTACTTATTATATGGCCCAGGTACTTACGGCTAAATTTAATTTACATTTATCTTTATTCAATTTAATATTTCCTTGTCTTAATCGGGCCAAAACTGAACGCCAACGTCTATCATGCTCCACCTGGTTTTCCCCCAAACCAAAACGTAATCGATAAAGACTTCTGTCCCTTCTAAATTTTCCAATACTTCTCTCATTCTTTGTTGAAAAACTTCCGAAGCGCTACACAAACCAAACGGCATTCTCAGAAATTTGTACCTACCAAACGGAGTATTAAAACAACAAAGGTCAGAACTAACCTCTGATAATGTGATATTCCAAAAGCCATTTTTAACATCTAGTGTGCTGAAAACAGTAGCGCCTGCTAATTTACTTGTTATTTCCTCAAACGTGGGCAAGCTACAATGTTGCCTCATAATCACTTGAATAAGACCTTTAGGATCTACAAACAGTCTCAGATCACCGTTCGGTTTGTAAACAATCACTAACGAATTCACCCATTCAGTTGGATGTTTCACTTTGATAATTACATTCTGTCGTTCCATTTCATTCAGCTTTTCTTTTAATCGAGATTTTATACTTATGGGTACTTTTCTACTGGCATGTATGACCGGCACTGAATTTTCTTTTATTTTAATATCATACTCTCCTCTAATGCAACCTAAACTTTCAAAAACATCTTTGAATTCTTGAAAAATATCTACTTTTTTCTCTATTTCACGCAAAGGTTTTATGGCCGATTTAAGTCCAAATATTAGTATAGCGTCCAAAAACAACATAAAAGTAAAGATAAAATGTTCTGTCATTGTACTTACACGAAAGAGAGCATCGACCTAGGCACGGAATGCATTCGCCCGTATATGTGGTGAGCTTAGTATTAACTTATATTAAGTTATTTTCATCTATACCAAGGAGAAACAATGAATCATCAGATAAAATATTCACCTGTGCACCTGTGTCCACTTTAACCTACAAAGTAAAATTATTAATTTCTAAAGTAATAGCATATCAATTTCATTACATTCATCGTCGTTTTCTTTTATTTCGCTAATGCTTCTGCATTTTGTGGAAAAATGATTTCGTTTTCCACATTTTAAACAGTTTTTCCAAAAGCCGGACATTTATATCTGTCATGAGAATAACCACAATTCTGACAAATAAATCCATCTGTGACGTAGAGTGACGTTTTATTTCCACATGTGTGTGTTAACAGGCAGAGGTTGATGGGTAGAAATTATCTTTAGTGCTTTTGCAAACCATATTTCAACTTTTTTGATCAATTTTGTCAATTTGTGATAAAAAATTATGCGATCCCGAATAACACGCACCTGGAGACGAAATGACTTTAACCTGCTATTTTGTTCGCTGAGAAGTGCAACATATTTCAAGCGCTCTAGCAAATGTTAATTCTTTCGTACGTAGAAGACGATCTTTCACAGCTACGTCTAAAATTCCACAAACTATCCTGTCTTTTATTAAACTCTCAGTTGGTTAAAAGATGCACTTAACTTACGCAATTCTTCTTTTTGATTCCGGGTAAAAAACAAAAATCGTTCATATGTCACATTTTTATCTGGGCAGAAATGTTCATCAAATTTTTGAAGAACTCTATTAAAATGCCTTTTGTCGTCGAGTTTTTCGAATGTCAAAGTGTTGTATATACGTAAAGTAGTGTGCAATGCTCGATCACCTACAGTTATCACAGCATCACTGACGCTGTTTCCTGATGCCAGCAGATATATTTCTTAAATAAGATTTTTTGCTTGAAAAACATCCAATTTTCAGATAAATTACGTTCCCAAGATAATTGGGAAGGTAGTGCTATATGCGGAAATTGATTTAATGTTTTCCTTTTTTCGGCTAGTTGCGAAGATTGTGCCATTTTTGAAAATTGAACACTTTATATACTTTACTTATAAATAAATAATATTTTATAAAACTAGTTTTTTACGGGTTAATGCACGAAACTTTATTTATTTAATTTATAAAAGTTTTATTCTGACGACGAAGCCTGTAAGGGCTACGAAACGTCAATAAATAAATAAAGTTTCGTGCATTAACCCGTAAAAAACTAGTTTTATTTAATGAGTGATGTGCGTGAAAACCTAAGAAACAAATAAATAATATTTTACTATATTCCGTAACATAGTAAAATATTCAACGAGTCCAATTCGCTTTTAGCCATTTTTTGTTGGCCGAAAAAACCTAATATATGTAAGGAAATAAAGAATAAACAACAAGTATTTACTGTCCATAGTTCCGTAAAAAAATTAAGAAAAAATATTAAAATATAAAATTACTAGAAAATTTCCACGCGGACCAGGCAGCAGACGGAATCGAACCTTTCGCTATCCGGGCGAATGCACTGACCATTATTATTTGAAAGAAGAAATAGTAATCATAGTTATTAATTATTATATAATATACGGCTACATCTACAGTCGTTAGTACCCGCCAATCCGCACTGGGTCCGCGGGGTGGGTCATGGCCCAATCTCCCTATTCCATCCATAGGGAAGGCCTGTGCCCCCGCAGTGGGAACAGCCTATTAAGGCTGATGATACTGTGATTGCTATTTCTTCTTTCAAATGTTTAATACTTGTAGAAGTATTCATTTGACATTGTGCTACAATGCGAAGAGATAAGGTTGCCTTGCAGCCTAAGATAAGCTAGAAAAAAAAACCACACGGCCGTCAGGGCCGCGGTAGAAGGGTACGGGTTC